CCTGCTGGTTCTTCTGGCAGCATGCTGCTATTTGGGACAATGGAAATAAGGAAGGGCCTTTCTGTGGTGGCAATTGGATTGAAACCATTCTCTGCCACCAAACAAGTAAAGAGACCACACCACAACATTGTTGAGTCCACTGAAGAGAGTGTGAGTACAACAAAACCTCAAATTGACCAAAGCACACCTTTTGTTGAGTTAGAAAGAAGCTGATCCCCAAAAGTTGTGGTGGTAGCCACGTACATGATGCATATCGGGTGTGTTTCATGTGGATCAGTAACACAACGTGTTCCTCAACTGAGATAGGAAATGGGGATGGGCGAAAGTAATGCTTTAAACACTTGGCCTACAGAATAATCTACACAGAGCAGTTCAACTCAGAAAAGCAAAAGCAATATCCATCAGCTGGGGCTCCATTTGTTGTTGTTACAAATCCAAATTTAAGCCCCCGCCCAAAGGCGCATGATCCAGGGGCTTATACGTGCTTGCAGGACAAAACCCTACAAACAAGTACCGAAAACACTTCAAAGGAGAAAGCAGGGAGCAGGCAGCAGACCACACGTGAATTTCACACAACACTACTGATCTAGTAAATTACAGGATAATGATGCCACAGGCAGCCAGTATTTCACGAGTATCAAATTAACTCATGCAAAACAGGTTCCAAATAACACGAAACAATCCTACAGAGACATGCTTGCCCATTAAAATCACACCACTCCCATTTGTAACACCGACTGCCGCTCACCCGTAGATACAGAGCACGTAAATCTCAATAGAAATGGTTTGTAACAGGACGTCAATTCCAAGAATATATTTGGTTATAATTTCATAGAAAGAAAAAAAAAAAAAAAGAGCAAATCACAGAATGGCTGAGGTAGGAAGGATTTTTGAAGCTCTCCGAGGAGGGAGATCCCACAGCCTCTCTGGGCAGCCTGTGCCACCACCCTGTCACCCCCACCATACGAAATGGCTTCCTGGTGTTCAGAGGGAACCTCCTGTGTTCGGTTTGTGGCCCTTTTCTCTTGTCCTGGCACTGGGCACCGCTGGTAAGAGCCAGGCTCCCCGTGGCACCCTCCCTTTGGGTATTTATGCACTAAGAACCTCCCAAGCCTCCTCTTCACCAGCACGAAGTCCTGTCCTCACAGGAGAGGTGCTCTGGTCCTTTGATCGCCTTGGTAGCCCTCTGTCGGACTCTCACCAGTACATCCAGGTCTCTCTTGTACTGGGACAGGACTGGACCCACTGCTGACCCCTGGGGTACTCTGCTCGTTACTGGCCTCCAACTAGACTTGGCACCACTGACCATCGCCCTCTGAGCTGACCCTCCACAGGCTTTCCTCTCGTGTTTGAGTTTGACCAGGAGCTCCTCGTTCTTCCATGCGGGCCTCCTGGTGTTTCTGCCTGACTTCCTCTTTGTTGTGATGCATTGCTCTCGAGGTTGAAGGAGGCGATGCCTGAACATTAAACCAGCTTTCTTGGGCCCATAGTACTTTGTCCCATAGTACTCTACCACGCAGATCCTTGAAAGGGCCAAAGGCTGCTTTCCTGAAGTCCAGGATTGTGAGCTTGCTGCCCTGGGGATCTTGAATCCAACCACTTCATGGTCACATTACATGGCCTGTGGCAGACCCCCACCATAATGTCACATAGCCCCATCTTCCCTTGAATCCTAACCCATAAACTCTCGACCAGCTCCTTATCTCCCCCAAATGCCCTCCCTAAACAGCCTTCCTCCTTCCAATTCAACCCTCCAGCCATGGGAGCCATCCCACTGTATCACAGAGATCCCAAAAAGATCACAGCTTTGCAATGTACACGTCTCTTGTTTATTACCCATGCTGTGTGTTAACGTACAAGCACTTAGGAGAGGCAACCCAGCGTGTTGTGTTCCTACAGAGCGTTTGGGGGATTTCTCCATAATGCTCCCTTGTAGGCATTTCCTTGGTAACCAGCCTGCAAGTCCTGGAGGTGATTCTGCTTCATCCCCACGCTGTGATCCCTCCCTGTCACGTCACCCCATGCCCTTTGCTCAGCAGCCCTGTGTGTCACTCCTCCACCGGGCTGCTGGTTACCTTCTCCCACACCTCCTTCCTAGTTTAAAGCCCTCCTTAGGAGGTCAGCCATCCTACCACCAAAAATGCCTTTGTCCTTTTCAGGGAAATGCATCCCGTCTCTCCCAAGCAGACACTGATCCTCAAACAGGGTCCCATGGCCACAGAACCCAAAACCCTGCTGCCAACACCAGTTCTGCAGCAAACTGACCTGTCCTGACCCAAAATGCCCCAGTGTCTCAGAACAGACACAAACGTTCTCACATCAGTGTCTGTGTTTTAGGTTCAGTTTTGCTCCTTACATTCACACCTGGGAAAATCCACAGAAAGAGACTTCAGTGGAGACACTTTAAATGCCCTTGATATCTTTGCAACAAACTGCCTCAAAACAAACAAACATCTTCTGCTTGCTTTAGGGGGAAAAACCACCTCACTCACTTCCAAATCAAGCTGTTCCTGAACCTGCTACAACAGAACAAATAGATGTATTTAGTAGTAGACATCAAACCCTCAAAAATTCTTAAAATAAAAAGTAATGAAGCTCTCACGATTGACTACATTTGAGGCCTTCAGTTCCTGCTTATCAATGCAGTGTAATACTTTAATATTCTTACTTGGTCATCTCATCCAAAATAAGAATATCTTGCACACTCCTGTAAAAAACAATTGATAAAAAAGTGACACTAATTTATTACAATTCAAATGAGAAGCTAAGAACTTCTTTAGCATTTTAAAGTTTACTCTGCACAGTAAGTGCTGGATAAATTTGGAAAGCCTTTCTACTTCAATACCTCATGGCAGAAACTAACATTAAATACATTTGAATTATTTAGGCTAATGGCTAGGGCCCTTCAAAGAACATTCCAAATCCATGACCAGTTTCCACTTTATTTTTCCATTTTGTTTCTATCCACGCCATCTGGCTGTATTGATCACGAGGTTAAACAATCTTGTGTTTTTCCAGATGAAGTAAACTCAGAACTAATTTGTACAATCACTCAGCAACACACGCACTCTTGATCGCTTTGCACGTGCCAGCCACGAAATCGGTGACCAAATCTTACAGGCTGAGCCCTGATCCACAGAAAGGGCAAAGAGAAAATCACCCACTAACCCATGCATGGCTCCTTATTTATTGCACCTTGTAATAAAACCAACTTTTGTAACCTCCAAGTTGCAACTGTTTTGTTTAGAATTTGTATCAGACTCCCCATCCCAAGCACCAGATACACAGAGGGACCAACAACCTAACAAGCCAGGAAAGTTACTTAGCACAAGAGCTCTTTATCATCATAAACCACTTGCTCAAATGGCCAGAGTAACACAAAATAAAATTGGCAATTGACAAAGCATTATACAGCAGCATGATAAGAAGACCACTAAGAGCAAAACAGCATTAATTTCCAAGTGCTATGGTGGAATTATGTGCCATTTCTCTTTTCCACAACGTTTTCAGATAAAAGTTTCTCGGACGGATGTAGATTACACACTTTATTTTAAACTCTGCTTTATCAGAGACCTAATCGTTGGGCAACGATGCCTGAAAACAGCAGACAGGCAGTTCCAGACACAAAAATTTATAGGAAAAGGCCTTTATTTTGCAATTTCATCAGACTACCTGAAACTGACCTTTAAAACCACTCACGTGATTAGACAGTTACTGTTTCTACAAAAAAGAAAGAGGTACTAAGGAGAAAAAAAAAAATGAAGGGGGCTTTTAATTTTCAGTTAGGCATTTTAATATCAAAATGCACTTAAAAAACAAACAGAACAACGGGAGGACTGCATAAATGAACACAGAGGAGCCCACCCGCAGGGTGGGAAGTCCAGCAGGAATCCACCACAGCGCAGCAGTAACCAAGGGACAGTCGAGGGCCTTCTCTGTGCCTACACTGAAGCAGCCTGGTTTTACGGAGGCAAGTGCCTGTCCACATCCTACCTGACACGTTCATTATCACTCGTAGTACGCATACCTGTGGAGGGCCTCCGGTGTACGGAGTTAGATCAGCTCCTGAAACTTCCCAAAGTCTCGCTGCAGAGCTCCTACGCTGATTTAGCACCACGCGAGTCAGCATCATAGCATCCCCGGCATCTGGGCAATTTAATTCTGTCACTTACAAAGGCTTTAAAATCACTGTCAGCACACCCCAGACAGTGCCGTTCCTATGTCCTGACTGCTGGCAATCACTTCCTACAAGCAACAGCGGGTTTTTAAGTTTCTCGTTTCTTAAAGGCTTGGGGCTGGTCCTGCAAATGTTCTCTCTAGAGCAGCTGTTTCTCCTCAGAACCATTACAGGGATGCCTTATGTTAAAAAGTTGAGATTTATATCCTCATCCTCAACCATCCAGTAAGACAAAGAAGTAAAGCACTAGTATGAAATCTTCTCTCTCGGTCTCAAGAGACCCCAGCACAGCACTAACTCTGGTCTGGCCGTGTCCCTGCGTGGTGCTGAGGCACCACATTTGCAACCAGACCTTCCCCAGGATTTGCGGGGATGCCCAGCAGCCTGCCCACACCCACCACAGCGGGGTCAAGGCAAAGGAGGGCCCGTCCAACGGGAAGGGCATCGCGACAGAGGAGAGCGCACCCTGAGCACACAGGTAACCGCTTCCTCAACGTCCCACCCTGCAGCAAGAAAAAAAAACACCGGTAACAACAGTCACAAGCGTTGGTTACGCCGGGTAACTTCCCAGATGGGAACTTCGTGGGGCAGAAATACAGCGGGAGCCGTGACAGGGGCGACACGCAGCGAGCCCCCCCCGGCCCCTCCTCACGGCCGGGCGCTCTGCAGGAACGAGGAGGAGAAGCCAAAGGAGGGAAGGGGAGCACCGAGGGGCAGGGAGGGCACTGAGGAGCCCCCAGGAGCCCGTCCCGAGGGGCAGGGAGGAGCCGTGAGGGCACGGAGGAGCCATCTTAGGGGCGTCGGGCCGGTGCGGGCGCTTTACCTGCTCTGCCAGCCCTGCAGGAGGTTGGTGTATTTGCTCAGCGTCCCTTCCAGCACCGGCTCCCGTCTCCTCCCTCCGCCGCCGGGCGCCTGCGCTCCCCCCGGGCTGGCCGCTGCCGAGCCGGGGCTGCCTCCCCCGCCGGTGCCCCCGGCTCCATCCAGCCTCCCCGCGGCCGCCGCCCGGCCGGGCAGCCCGCGGCTGGCGGAGGAGGAGGAGGGCGAGGAGCCCGCCGAGGTTGGGCGGCTGCTGCTGCGGCTGCTGCTGTTGCTGCCTCCTCCTCCACCACCTCCTCCTCCTCCACCTCCTCCTTCGCCCACCACCGCCGCCGCCTTCTCCATGGAGCCCCGCGGCGGAGCCTCCGAGCCCCGAGCGGCCGCGGCTGCCGCCCGCCAAAGCCCTGACTCACGGGCGGCGCGGAGAGGGGCGGCGCCCGAGGGAGAAGGGGCCGGGCAGGGCCGGGCAGGGCAGGGCCGGCCGAGGGGGAACGGCCGCGCCGCCTCCCCGCGAGGTGCCCCAGGCGGTTGGGCGGTGGTGGCGGCGCTTGGCCCCGCACCAAAGAGCCGGGAGGCCGCGGACCCGGCCTCCCCCCATTTCCCCCCCCCCCCCCCCGGCCGCCATCTTCGTGCGGGGGGCGGCGGGGGGCGGCCAGGAGATGGCCGCGCTCGCACGGCCTGAGGCGGCCTTGGGGGGGGGGGTAGGCACAGGGTGAGGAGGTGCCTGAGGGGTTGTGGGTCAACCTAGTCCTGTCCTCACCCACTCTTCACCTAAATAAAAAGTTAAGGGTTAAGTCACCTTGCCTGTGGATGGAGGCTCTGTCGTTGAAGGGCGCTCGGAGAAGCGGAGTGGAGGCAGGTGCACGCTGTGGGGTTGCGTGCCTTCACATCGAGCCTGCAGCTGGCCCTGCTGCACCAGCCCAGTGCCTCAGTGCTGTGGAAACATCTGTCACCACAGCACACCAGATGCGTGGATATTCTTGCTGACATTTTACAACTGGAGACCTGAAATACAGAGGCGCTCGGCGAGTCTCTCACCAAATGCAAACCAAGCTTCACTCCTCTACTCCAACCTCCTGAAAAGTTTTGCCATGTACTAGAGATTTTCAGAGTGTACCAAACATCAGGTGCTCTCCTATGCTCTGCACCTCTGAAGATACTCAAACCATCCAAATTCACACACAGTCTCCTCACAGAGGCCTCAGTTCCCCACATAAACCAGCACAGACGAGATAGCTCCTTAACTTAAGATTCTCCCAGTTTTCTCCCCAGAAAATCCCACCATATGTGTTGTGGTTGGGTAGCTGCAATGTTGGGCAACTGGATCCTGAATTTTGGGTAGTTAAACTTCTCATGTTGTAGCTAAATACCGAGGCACTACCGTCTGGAAATCTGAATTTTAATTTAGTATTCATTGGTGGAACGTTCAATGTACATCTCCTGCAGCACAGACAAAGATTATGAACTTAGTTATTCTTTAAAACAGAAAATACTTGTGAGCAATTTTCCAAGTCAGAGCTATTACTTAAGATGTACATGTAAAATTCCCTGGTCATTGTTTACTACAGACAGAAACTCCCTGGCCACAGTCTGAAAATCCTCATTCTCAGGAGGCTCAGCTCCATTACTTTGGTGACCACAGTTTTCAGAAGGCACTGGAATGAACAAGGTGTGCTCCTTTGGAAAACTCACACCCTGCTCTGGAGATAAGCAGTACCTCAATACATCAAGTGTGTATGTTCCATATTACAAAGAATGATCATTTTCTGCCTTCCATAGGATTTATCCTAAGAGAATTATGTCAGGAAAAGAAGCTTCCTCATAAAGTTATAGAGAAAACTCTTTTTATCATTCCATACAATAAAACTCAAATAACAATGGTGTGGCCATTAGGGAGTTTTTGCAAGGATGGGACACCAGGCTCTAAGCACATTGTGTCTTCAGGAGATTTCTGCAAAATCTCAAACCACTCTGCACTGCTGCTATCACATTACTGCAATGTGATAGCATAGAAGGTCCTCTTACAGATTACCAACTAGTTAACAGATGGAAAACAAAACAGAGGACTAAATGGCCATTTTTCAGAAGGAGGGAAAATGCTACCCTGAGTTGGGATGTACTTTACTCAGCATCTTCCTAAATCACAATTCCTGCATTCATTTATAGTTAAAAAAAAAGAGCCAACTCCAAAAAAAAACAGCAGAAGAATCTCAAAGTGGTGACTAATTTGCTCATAAAATGGCAACTGAAACGCAATGTTTCAAAAAAAACGAAGTACAGACATGGTGAAAAAAAAGCTTTTACTACACATGCATAATGATGATCTATAAATTAGCTAAGGCCTCTCAGGAAAGACATCTTGGAGTCATTTTAAACAGTCCGCTGAAAAACCCATCTCCATGTTCAAGGGTAATCAAGCAAACAGCTGTGATGAGCTCATTAGGAAAACAGAAATATCAGCATGCGGCTATATAAATGTATAAAAAGTACACCCAGTGCCTGTATGCTCTGCATTAATAATATTCCTTCAAAAAGGACAGAATGAGAGAGAAAAGGTATAAACCTCAGCTTTTGTACAGCAAGAGAACTAACTCAACAGGGTTTTCAGTTGGAAAAGAGACAACCAGTGTGCAAAATGGTATTCAGGTTAACAGGAATGATTTTTCACCGTTTCCCACAAAACAAGAACTGCAGGGCAGCTGGTTTAAAATAGGCACAAGAAAATACATTTTCACATGGTTTGTAATTGTGAAACTCATTACAAGACAGTTTTGGATGCCAAAAGTCTAGAAAAATTAAAAGAGCAATTTGACAACCGTTTTTGAAGTATGTTTAAACAATGTTGACCAAAGTGTTTTGGAGGTATTTGAAGATCAGAAAGCCCCTAAACTTCTGATGTTTTGAGGAGTGTTTACTCTATTGATGAAATAACACTTGCCCTGCTCTTGATCCTTCTCTAAGCACCTACTAGGGGAAGGAATAAGGCACTGGACTAGACAGAGCTTTGGTTTGACCTGTAATTCAGATACTAAGGATTCCTTCCCCTTGGTTAATCAAAGGTCCTTTTGATTCAAACGTTGGCATTTTACGCTGCTTTTGCATTGCATTTAAGCACGGGACTATATTACAACCAACCTCCACATCTCTTTTCCTTCCCAGTATGTGCATACTGTTGTGATCTAATGGAGCTGGACAACCTTTCATGGCAATCTTGATACCAGTGAACCCCTATCCTCATTTTTTTTAAAGTCATTAATGTTCTCCAAAATGACTGAACGTGTTCTGTTTCGTTGGTTTTTCTTTACTAGCTAATTGTCTGTACCAGTAGAGCTAGACTTCCCAGTAACATGCACTGACTTTGTCTGATGTAATACTGCATGACGTATGCTTCATTACCAGTATTCTTAATTAACTATTTATTAACAGCGACCTGCCTAATGAAGGCTCTCACTGTTTCCAAGGTAACACATCCACTACTTTACCATCCTCCTTTAGGATGTTACTTCCACTCTGTGGCCAAGCCAAAATTTTGCCTCTTTCAAGTACCCAAAGAGGCAACATTGCTCATTATTTATCCCACCTTTTAGAAAGTAAAATATCTGCTAAGATAACACATTCATCTCTGTTTTCCCTTACTGGGAAACAGAGAAGTTTTCCCATTCTGCGATCCTTTGCTAAGCCACAGAGTTTTAGCTTGCAGAACAAGGCCATCTCACAGCCCATTTGCTGCTTTCTGTTTCCTGGTCATCATGTTTGGGGTTTCTATACCTTTTTAATGCTCCCCTAACAAATAGTTTTCTATAATTACTTTCCAGGTTCCTTTTCTACCTCTTCCCCTTCCTCCCCACCAGATTTCCACACAACTTCTAACAATCATAATCAGCTTGGGCAGGGGATCTACACGTTCTGCTGTAACAACAGGGTCTACAGAAACTAGTTTTGCCTGGTCTACATTCAAGAATTGAACCTATTCCATGGAAATGACACAAGGTTGGCTCAGTTTTACCACCTCCTCCTTGCCCTACAGAGTTCTCATTGCATCATTTTCCATGAGCTTTAGAGACTCAAGCCACATGTCACTAAATTATAGGCAACACTTAGGGCAAAACCATACCACTGTGCACCTCTATCACCCCTGCCTATGTCTGTCAGCACTGGAATCATTCAGACACAATCCCTAAAGTTTAGTTCATAGCAGTCACAGCTGTGCCAAGGCTGCTCTCACTTAAACTTCCCCAGCTGTCCACAGCAACTGCCCCAGAGTGAGTGCAGCTGGCATGCATGCAGCAGGTGGGAACAGCGTGCAGCAGCAGCATGTTCTCTCGTCCTTCCTCAGATCCGTTCCCACACATAACTCGACTTTTGAAGGTCTACAAGAAGCAGCGATCCCTCTAGTCTGCCCCTTTTCATCGCACAGGACGGAGTCGTAATACAATTATTGTGTTCTACCTTACCTAATGGCTTCACTGAGATTTAACCAGCATGCCATCCACGAGTAAAACGCTTCTGACCTGAGGATTTCAAGAACACAGAGAAGCTACCATTAACTTTGCAGTCTGCCAACTTTACCATTAGCTTTACTGCATCAGTATGCACTTTATCCTCCCTCCCTGGTGCCTGTAAGCCTGCAGCGTGTGCTAAACATGCTTCTTTGCCACACTTCGTCCTGTTGTCAGCAGCTTCTCATCCAAGTTTCTCCTCCACCGACAGAACCATCCCCCAGTTCTCACTGAGGTTCAAGCTGGTGACAGGGAAACAGTCAAAAAGGACATGGCATATGGCAAAAATACCCAAACTGCCTTGGCTGCCAGAAACAATCTAGTCTGGGAAACACAGACCTGAGTGCAGTGTAATTCACTCTGCCACGACGCATCACAAATTCATTTGGACTGAGGTTCGTGCTGCCACAGCTAGACTTGTGATAGCTTGTTTACTCACCTAGGGTGCACTGCTCTGTAATTTGCAGGTTAGACCAGTTGAAACAAAACCTGATTGAACTGTCTGTGAGCCGCTGGAATACAAAGTTTGGGGTGGTCAGGTGGAGAGAATATCCATTGGTATTATGTATGTTTGTATCAGATGTCATCAAATGTGCAGAAGGAAGTGCCCTGTGCTATAACCATGATGCAAGGGATTGTCTGCATAGAGTCAACACTTCGTACTGCAACTGGAAACAAGTAGGAAGCTAGGGCACAGAGAAATAGGGTGAGCGTAAATATCACTGACACTATATTTACTGTGTGTTTTAGCTAGTGGGAACAGCCTTATTCTGTGCCAACTAATGTTTGAACAGTTGTTCTAAGTAGTGACAAATACAGTTCTTTAAATAGATGCTTTCATACACCACGTTCTGGAGAAAACACGGAGATTATTGAGCACGACCTTCCAGATAAATGAACTCCTTTTCAGTTTGTTGCGGAATTACAGATAAATG